TGACACTCACACTCGGACAAGCCTTAGGGTCTCGGGCTTAGGGAGTCTATTGGCATCATTAGCCCTCCAGGCTCGTGGCCCTTTCGGCGCCCGTCGTGCTCATGTTGCTTGCCATCGCGACGACTGGAGCCTGCACTGCGTGGGGTGGCGTTCGACACAGGAGCGATCCACAACCCTAAAAAAAAAATCCTAAATCTGACGTGTCAACAGGAAGTGATTGGATGTTCAGAGCATCCACTCCCAGAAGTGAAACCCCCCTCCCCGATCCTCTTAAACTGTGTGACGAAACCCTGAGCCCTTGGCCACCCGAAACCTGGCGCCGATGATATGTCGTCTTGCTCCAAATGATGGCAATCGTAACAAAGCGGACCCGAAGCGCTGGCTGCGACTGAGGCCCGCGGGTGTGGTGTGAGACCTCAAACCCCTAGTGCCCCAAAGCCATTCCCTGAAGTATGAAACGCATTATCCCTGCACCCTACGAAGACGTGGTCGGGGCCCTAGTCTTCACAACCGGACCCCAGCCTTTTCTCACAGATCAACACCTGAGGCTTTTCTGGTGGGGGGGAGGCCTCTTCCTCCTCATTTAGATCGACCTCTTCCGACTCTTCGCCATCGGAGCCTAGGGCGGCATGACACGGGGGAGTGAAATTTTTGTTTCTTCGGTGATGCATCGTATTTACGTTGGCAGCTAGGTAGGCAGGCTCTAGCTTGATGACACAAATACATTACGCCATTACGTCAAGCCACAAAGCCACAAAATCCTTCAATTTCGCTTTCCTGAAGTCGCGGCCCATGAGCGTAAAACCCTATCAATATCCACAACCTCAGGCTCGAGGAAAGCGGGCCAAAGAGAATTCCCAAAGCCAAGCTGCCTGGTGCCTCGAGGATGGCTTCGCCTATGTCGCGGATTCGCCAGGTCAGGTGCAAGGTTCAAGCCGAGGGCAGGGGGTTTGAAAAACTAGAACCCTAAACCCTAAACCACCACTCTTCCACTCTGCAGCCCTGGCACCTCGTCTGCGGACGCCCTGCAGCATTGGCAGCAGCCGAGCACCAGCTGCTTCGCCAGGAGGCGGCTGCGTAAGCTCCTCCGCTTTGATATTTAGGGGTTTAGGGGTTTAGGGTTTAGGGTTTAGGGTTTAGGGTTTAGGGATATCGGGGGTTTCCGAAAATAAGGGACCCTAATATAGTACCCTAAATAATAGGATCCTTATTATAAGGACCCCAAAGT